TGGAAGATGTAGTAGAATGGGTTGACTAATATCCAAATTATAAAATTGCAAGTATCAAGAATAGGTCCAGAAAAGTCAAACACAATCGTTACATCAAAAGATTCAGAGAATATATTAAAACGGATGCCACATAATCAGAAAAAAATTTTAAAATCAAAGAATTTATGTGGAATGAATTCTATGTGAAACGAACAATTGAAAAATCAGCAATTCATGATAGTGATCTAGAACGTTTTGCAATTCAAAAAGCAAGAGAACTGGGTCGGGATAATTTTACAGTAAGTGAAACATTTATTGCGACATCCAACAGAGAATATCGGATTTCATCAAGAAGGTAAAACAAACTTATTACACGGATATCTTCGAGAAGAATAGCTTGTAGTTTGAAAAGTTTGCAAATTTTTACTTAAAATTCTAATATATTTGTCATAATATGATATATCTATTTTAGACGACCACGATTGGATTAACAAGCAAAGATCTATAATGTTGAATTATTCTCCTCATCAAATTAAAAACAATGACCATTGCTAATTTCGACAAGAGTATATATCTCCAAGAACTCTTTCTTTTACTGGTGAAAGAAAAACTGAAGTTGTCGTTAAAAGAAAGAATAATCTAACGCATTCCTATACGGCGCAGCCTATTACATCAGCTGATGATCAATTATTAGATAAATTCTTTCCTATTTTCCAAGACAAAGAAAATGAATTCGGCACAAGAGTACAAACGGATTTAATCATTCCACCAAATGTTGTTGTAAGAGCTTCAAAATTTGGAAAAAGTAGTGATGAAAAGCATCGCACATTTTTAAATGAAGTTCTACGTCCTTTGGTCCGTAGAAAATTCCTTCTTTTCCTTGATTGATGGACAACTCAAACTGATCTAAAAAATTTAGAACAATATTTCAACATCAAGGCAGTCACTTATTAATTTTTCCTCAAGGATCTACTGATCATATTCAACTAAAAGATCTATCATTATTTCCCAAGACGATGTTTCCGCCCTCCGGAAATGAGCGGATTTCATTGGAACCGGCCAGAAACATACTGGAAACGCACCGTAACGTGCAGGAAAACGCCGGATATCATCGGACCCTGGAAGCAGGATTCCGACACGGATTTTTCCGGATTTTCCCGGTGATTTCCGATGATTTCCGGCGGGAACCAACAGGAACTTGGCGGAATTTACAGGAAAAATCCGTAGATTTCCCGATCCGGAATACTGCTTCCGTGAAATCGCGGGAATGCGCGGGAACCGGNTCCGGATTTTCCCGGTGATTTCCGGCGGGAACCAACAGGAACTTGGCGGAATTTACAGGAAAAATCCGTAGATTTCCCGATCCGGAATACTGCTTCCGTGAAATCGCGGGAATGCGAGAGAAACAGCCGTTTCCCGAGCCGGTTGCTTCGACCTGGGTTTGTTCGTGGCGATTTATTCATGAGAAAGTTGAATGCTACGTACATATCGACCGAACAGAAATGAACTTGAACAATTGTCAATATTTTATTAATATACATTCTTTGATGCATAATCAATTATCGGCTACACAATTCAAAAATCTCATCAAATTTAGATTCGTGCAAGCTAAAATACTCAACGAAACAGTTGGTGAAATCAAGAAACCAAAAGATGTCTGTTTTAAATTTTATGATCTGTATTGTTCAGTTATTCGTTGTGAGGAAAAAACTCTTTTAACCTACGCCTGGTGCAAACGAGATCTTTGGTATTCTCACTTGATTGAAGATCTTCATCTCCATTCATAGCAGATGTTTTGAAATGTTATTTTCAATAGTTTATAACCTTCTTGTAAAATAAAGTCGAAACTATTGATAAATGACGAGTTTCCATATATAATACTGGATATGTCTTCTACTCTACACTATTGAACTTCAGCTTAAATCGTATCTAAAGCAGTCTAAATGATGTCAGTAAAACTTATCTCGATCTTGGAAAAGTATTTCCTAACAAATCTGATAATTAACTTGAAGGCTGATATGAATATTTCATGTATTATCATGTTTATGCACTCAATTAATGTGAAACTTAAAAATTGAATATCTCTGTCAAAATAAGTCATCAGCAGCTCATATTTTAAATGCGTTAGTTTCTCAGTGAATGTGATCATTTGCACCCCACTCGGTCACCCATCTCGCTTGACGCTACAAACAGGTCCCTTGTAAGTGTATCTAAATAATTAAACAGCGACTTTATTCGTTCGAGAGATGAGGGTGTGGATGAGCATTCTCATCACGAAAACCGTTACCCACCCCCACACACCCTCGAGAATCCAGCAAAATACCTTTCCGGGCTGCTTTCGGATACCTTTAAGAGATTCTTGGAGTGAAAAAAATGGTTTCCGAACGCCCTGTCTTTTTCTTCATGTTCATAGATCGTAACAAAGAGATAAGATGAAGTGTCACGTTCTCAAAGAAACATCATGCGAAAAATCTGTAATATATAGAGATCTCAACGATTATTACACGATTTGCTGTTCTCGAGATCATCGCATAACAGAGTATGAACGTTGGTTCCGGAATTCGAGAAAGAAAAATAAATTTTGAACGATCGTTATATAGTGCTTTGCTCTGTAATAAGACTCGCATTCGATTCTCGATAATTAGGGAATTAGATATGCTGATGGAATTTTAACCACAGAGAAACAAATGGTGTGATTCTGACCAGTATTTGTTTATTTGAATCTTACAAAAGAATATTTAAGCTCTTTAAACGCTATCGACTAGAAAAATATTTATCTATTTTAAAGATCATTTGACTATTCCGATTGTCATTCGTTTATCTTCTGGGAAAGGAGAAAGTAAACAGTTGATTTCTCGAATATTGCTTTGGCAAGAAGTAAAAAATTATTTGCAGTCGTTGAAAATAGGAGATGAAATTTGCATAGAATTTGTTGATAGAATAGAATATTGAGTACTGACCTTGAAGACCGAAATAAAGTGCTAGTCCAACGATTCCTCCAATCAAAATGAGCAGAATCAAAGCAAAAAGGGCGATTCTGAACCAAAATAGTATCCGTCGTAATCTGTTTGTTCTAATCAAAGAACAACTGTTGATTATATCAACAATCAAAGAAAGTAAACGTACTCAGTGTTTGTTGGTGCATCAGGCACTGAATCTAAATTGACATTGATATTTTCCTGCTTAACTGATTTGTTCGTTTGATCGGAATGAATATTTCTTCTATTGAGATTATTGTCATTCTTGTTTTTCCAAGAATTTTGTGGAAGCTAAACAAAATGAATTTGACAATGAAAAGAAAAATCGAAATTTGTTGAATAAATCAATACATCTGGAACATCCAACAATGGAAAATGCCTAGTTATAACAATAGTCGTTCCGTATTCGTTCCATTGTCTTGCAAATGAATTTGCTTGACAGTTAATATCTTGCCTGGTGTTTTTCTCATAAACATGCTTCATTTCCAATGATTCAATAAAACATTTTGTTTTCGGAAGAGAGAAAAGGAAATTTTATTTATTTTCTTAAGCTATTGCACAAATTGATTTCATATACCGGAGGAGTTTTCTTGAATAAATCATTTCAAGATAAAAATCATTTAGTAAAAATACAATTGATTGCAATTTAATCTTCAAAGTGCAACAAGTATGAAAAAGCAAAACTGAAAAAGTTCAGTTATTTCACTTAAAAATGATTTTAAAGAAGAAAAACAATCTTTACCTTTCTTTCAATGGTTATACCCATGGCGTAAATAATGTAAGGAAACGACCATTGAAATGCATTCCATCTATACCCAGGAACGTTTCAAAACGTTTTTTTGTAATATGTATTGCACTTCACTTCGTTTCTCTTTCTAAGTAGCACGTTTGCGAGCGTTAAGTTTTCCAAACGATGCAGAACGCATCGATTTTTTGAACGCGCTCTCCAGCATGCATAACAATTATTGTAAGAGCATTTCATGGCGTTTTTTCTGACTAATAATAGCGTTTAGCTTAGAAAAAATGCGTTTTCAGCTGTTCATTTATAACGAGTCTAGAAAATTAAACAAGAGTATCTCACTCGAATGAGACCTTTTCTCTGAATTCGTAACTTCTAGAACGTCGATATTAAAAAAAAGAACTTATCTTAAAACTTGAATAAATCATATATATATATATATATATATTAATAAAATCTATTAAAAAACCATTTTTGTTTGTATTAGTAACACCTTCACTTCCAATTCGCTGATACCAAAGAACCAAGTTTTTTAACAATGGATTTTTGTTGATAAGATCGAATGTTAGGTTTGAATCTACATCCATATAACTATCGTCACTAATTTTGTTTTGTTCTTGCTTTAAAAAGTCAAGTAAATCATTTAAATTATTAAGTAATCCGACTTTTACGATAAATTGACCATCGTCAAGCTCCAAACATGACTTTTTTCTAATCGACAAGAAATCATGCTCTGAGCATTTCATATTAAATATATCAAAAATATTTGGATATCGAATTAAAGATTGTGTAGATGTTATTGATTGAAACTTTAAAATGTCCACTATTTGTTGTCCAACTAATGTATGAATAAAACCAAAAAATTCATCGTTTTTGAAAGAAAACACATTATCTGTCATCGTATCATCCATCATAAGAAAAATAAGGAGTCTTTTATTTATCTGGAAGAAATTAAAAAAATAAGTTGAATAATGTTAGTGTAGAATATGTTCAAAGACTCTGAGTTATGAAAGTTAAAACAAATCTAGTTCATACACAGCTGTGATGAATCATAATCCGATAATCTAGAGCGAATGATTATAGTAAAGATGGAATGTCGCTAAAAATCAACAAGTGTTAATAACAATATATAGAGATAAATTTTTCAGAAACTATTGGCTAATTCTTTTACTGGATTATGACTCATGATTCAAAGATGATATCCATTATACTTTCTTCCTGTCAACATGTGTAATTTGGGAGACAAATTTTTCTTAATAGATAATTATATTTTTCCTTATAGATAATTGATAATATATTCAAACATGTTTCAAACAGATATTCTTATTGATACATCTGTATTGCCATCAAACATAATGTCATTACGTGATGATAATTTTATTGATTTTGTGAAGGAAGAAGCTGGTCATGCTGTTGCTGCTCTACTAGAATTACAAGGTATTAATAGTGTGAAGTCATTGTTGATGACAGATGATGTTTGTTCTATTATGAACGTGAAGAGTAAAAGTCTCGATGCATTTAAAAATAAATATGGTTATATGCAAGATGATGGTATATGTATCATACAACCTGGTGTTAAAGGAAATATAGAATATCTCATTAGTTTGTTGAAGAAAAAATGTGTTGATGATGCAAAATTAGTTAAATCTTCAAAACGCAATCAATTGTCATCATCGTTAACTACAACTACAGATACATCATCAACAATAAGAAAACCTACGTCATCTATTTTATCTGATAGCTCACCAGAAACTGCATCATTAAAATCTTCGAATTTATCAGTTGCTGAACATAAATCATACATAATTGATACATTAAATAGCTGGTGCAAGAACAACAAATCAAAAGATAATAATGAACGATTTTCTTTAGTTGAAGGCAAGGATTATTTTATTTCATTACAAAATGATTCAACTGGTACATTAAAATGTAATATAAAATGCAGCTGTGAAAAATGGACAACATTAGTATTTAGACGTGGAAAATTTCAGCTGTCAAATTTCTATCGTCATTTACAAGGCTTAACTAATGAATGTCCTGCATTCAAAAAAAATTTTAATAATCCTCCAGTATCATCACCATCATCAACACATAATCATTAATCATTGACTACATCAGATAATGTACTTCAACAAATTGCATCACCGAATACGATACCTATTATACCACCATCAGATACAATACAATCGAATTCAACTTCAGTCGCAGCATCTTCTATATCCAAATCAACAGAAGATGATGAAACTTGCGATGAAAACATTATCGAACAACCATCATCATTAAAAACTAAAAGACAAGTGAAAATAAAAGTTCAAACAATAGAATCTTCACATAACACAATAGAATCAACAAAAAGAACAAGAAGAAGATAATTTTTATACGCCGAACATTGTCTTGTTTGTACTTCTTCGATCACTTCTTTCGTGTTCTCTTATATGGTAAGGTTTTATATTAAATTGATGTTTTTAACTTAATAATACACTTCTTTTTTCTTTTATAGTTAATCGGTTCTATCATGTGTTGAATTTTTATACTTTTATGTCTGTTTGATTTTTTTATAGTTTTATGTTCGTTTGATTTTTATTTTTTTTACATTTCACAGTTGGTTTTTAAACAAATAAACAATATAATTATTGATAACAAAAAAACTTTTTAATATAAATATTTCTTGATTGATTCCTGAAGTCTTCGCGAATATTCTTTTTGTTAATTTTTTTT